GCGCCTCCTACTACGCTTGGTCGCCGCCGGCGCCCGACGAGGAGGACGTGCCCGACGACGCGCTGCCGCCCTACAGCGAGCGCGAGCTGAGCCGCGGCCCGTCCTACCGCGCGCGCGATCCGCCTTACTCCAGCAACTCGGAGAGGCGCAGGAAGAAGGAGCCCGCCAAGAAGACGGTGGGGCGCCCGGGGCGCTGGTCAGGGGGCGTCCTGGGCGGGTAGGCGGGGTCTCTATCAAGGGAGGCCCGGAGAGGGAGCCCTGGACGAGCTGGCCGCCTTCGCGGACTCCTACGGGCCGCGGCCTCCTACGGGCCGCGGCCTCCAGCCATAGGGGTTTTGTCCACGTGCAGAGGTTACAACCCGTCTGTGTCCAGGACCAGGGTGGGGTTAGTAAGCCTAGGCCCTGCCCAGCAGAGTTTTTTTAAAATGCAAAAAGTAGATGTGTAGACAATTAACGGCCAGCTTTAAGGAGGATTTGGAAGCAGGGTGTCATGGCCCCGGTAGAATGTCATCCTAGCACTGTGGGAGGCCGAGGCGTGAGATAGCTAGCGAGATCAAGGCCAGCTTGGGCAACTTTATTTCAAAAGAGCTAGGAATGTATCTCAGTGTGAAGGCCTTGGACTCAGTCCCCAGTACAAGGTAGGCTGGGGTGGGGGTCAGCAGCATTTGGCGTTGGGGATTATAGGCACTATGGCCACTTCAGGTCTTTATTTACATAGGTGTGCGTGGTCTGCTTGCAGAACATGTCCAGGTTTTAGGTATATTCCTCCTTCCCCATCTCTCCTTGGGGTGAGGGTAGGTAACTTGCATTAAATTCCCACAAGAGTCCACATTCCAGAGGTCGGGAGCCACTGCTGTTTACAAGGGATAACTAAATTCTTTCTTTCCTCTTTTGACATTTTATTGACTGTTCACTGTGTACTGTGCCTGTATAAGTGAAAGAAATCCGCTGGTCCGTGCCTAGTTCCTTGTTTCTTTTGTAGGCCTCTCTTGGTTTCACTCTGAATGCCAAGTGCAGCATTGCGGGACAGTCGCAGGTGCTCACAGAGGAATACCAAAGTGCCTCAGACCGTACACTTTGGAGAGCACTCTCCATGCTCTGTAACTCTGGGTCCTGCTCTAACTTTGCCTCCCCACATTTTGTCTTTCATGCATCCAAGCTGGACGTTTCTTTTAGTGTGCAGTGCGGGAGAAGGAATATAGACAGAAAAAAGGATTGACATTATTAATAGCCCCTCCAGAACAAGGGTCCTGGGTCTTTAAATAGAAAAGTGCAATAATGAGGGAACTGTAAGGAAAAACTTCTGGATGGTATTGGGTTTATGGTAGACTACATATGCTGTCCTACAACTGTGATGTGGTTGTTCTTCGTGGCAGGGGGGAGGGGAATGTCTCTGTAGCCAAGCATCTAAATTATGTCCTGGGTGTCTTGGCTTCAGCCCCAGCACATCTAATGGAGTGTCTTCCAAGGCAGGGCATATCTGGCTCTGAACAGATTGTAGACTCTGCCCACTGGACTCTCTGTTGTGTTGGTTGATTTCTTTAAGCACCTTATGTTTAATGTTAGGCTTTTTCTGCTTTTCTTCAGAATGACTTTCCAACTAGGATGTCCCTTGTGGTCTGATGTTTTTGAGACATCTCTCCGGATAATCAGAAATCAGATGCAGACTGCAGGGACAAGACACAAACCCCAAGAGCCAGCAGGCCGGGACTTTCTTTGACGACCACCTTGGAAGATTTGCTGATCTCTTCTTTGGCAAAGGATAGGAGGCAGCCTTGAAGGGAGACTGATTACAAACCTCAGCGCCCATCTAACTAGCTTGAGAAACTTACCATGAAAACAATGAATGTGAGAACATCCCACCCACAGTTTATGCTGTCCAACCTCCTTCCTCAGCAGAACTAAGGTTTTGCTTCCAGTTCTGAAAGAGTTAACTGTGGACCACTAATCTCTGGAAATTGTCTATGCCTACAGTTGGTCTCTGTGCTATGCTTAGAGACAGAAAAATTCATTACTACAATTAGATGAAGGCCTACTGCTGACAGGGGAAGAGCACTTGAAGGCAGAGGACACCTTTTATCCCTGTCACTTCCTGGTCACTGGTCAGTGGCTGTTGCTACACTCAAATCAGAAAGCCTCTGGTGCATTCAGTGACAGCAACCTCCTGGACAATCACAGAAACGACTCCAGTCTGCCTTTCTGAAGCGCAGCTCTTGAGTGGCAGGGATAAAGCAAGAATATACCATTCTGAGAAGCAGTCTAGGCAGTATTTCCTTTTCTCTTCTGAGAACATAAACTGCTTTTCCTGTTCCGCAGCACATGTCAACATCTGAGTCTTGAACCTCAAGGGCTCTTCTTTTCCTCTCCAGAACTTCTTACTGGTTGGTGCCACGTAGAGCCCCAACTCTGTCTGCACTCTGATTAGTTTGTCATCAGGTGCCTTTTGATAAATGCTTAAAATACAACACATGAAAGAGGAGTGAAAAAAGAAGAGAAAGCAGGAATGCAAGACAGAAAAGAATGACAAGAGTTTAAGAAAAAAATACTGTATGGTCCCACTATATTTGAAATGTGGGTCATTTTCCCTACAAATCCCAGTCAGTCTTCTTTGGTTTTGTACTTCATTGCCTATATTTGTCTCTGCCGTCCTGGTTCTGCTGTTGCAGGACACTAGAGATATGGAACCTGCATCTCTTGGATTCATTGAGATGCTTTTGAGAGGTGAAAAAGGTATTGATTTCTTGAAAGGAGTACTTCCTATTCCTGCCCCTGCCTAAGTGGTAGGTTCTAAGTCCCAAAGCTAAACCTCTCTGGATTTTGTAACTTGTGTGGATTACAAAAATGATCACAAACTTTCCCTCCTCGTTGAGGTGTTTTTTTCCCCCACCTTCTGAACCGGGAGATGGCCATGTGATTTGATCTGGCCAAATGGCCCAGTAGTAAATATGATATAAACAGAGACTTGAAAAGTTCTTGTGCATGGGATGTGTCCTCTCTTGCTGCTCTTCGGAAGCTTGCAGTCACCACCTGGTGAATGAGCCTGAACTGTCCTGCTGCATGATGAGAGAAAACGGCCTAGTTACCCTGTCACTCTGTGTGACAGTTTGTCAACTCTCAGCTGATTGTAGACATAGGAGAGTTCAGCCAAGATCAACAGAAAAGCTGCCTAGCTGAGCCCAGCCCAAACCACTGATTCCTACTTGAGGCATGAGATATCAGTGCACCCTATGTGTTCTCTTCTGATCGGAATGTTCAGGCCTGAATCTCTTACTCCATCCAGTCTTAGGTGTCTCACAGCCTCTACTTTCTTAACAGACTTGAAATTTTATCTTTTTACCCTACCCTATTATGATGGGACACATTGTGGGGTCAAATAACTGGAGGAGGAGGATGAACTTGCTATTTCCTAATCCAGCAATGGTCCAGCCCTATTCTTGTATCCCTGGAAACCCTCTGAAAGTTGATCAGCATCTCCTCGGCCTTCTCCAGAGCCACCAGTCTAGACCTCCAAACTACCATTTCATTGGTATCCATTGTACTTCATGGCATTTCCAAAAAGTCCTATGTGTTCAGTGTTACAAAGTAGTGGCTAGGTGAGGGTCAGAGGAAAGAGCTGGTACCATTGCTTGGAGAATTGGCCGACCAAAGGCCTTCACAGTTGCTTTGGCCTGTCCTACAGGAACTAGAAAAACAGTTCAGCCCAGTGCTGGCACTTCCAAGGGCTTGAAGACACAAGCCATAACCCTGGTGCTGAGTTTTAGATGTGCTGGTGTCCCTGTCCTCAAAGAGTTGGTCTGTTTGGGCCCCAATTCACATGGAAAATATGATAAACACATAATTTCATAGTCACCAGCTTTGGATTTCAACTTGCTCAGGCAATTTTGGAGAATATTAGATAACTGCAGTAGCTGTTACAGCTTTATACTGAGCACTGTGTCAGGCTTCTCACCACCAAAGAGCCCCATAGCACCAGCTGCAGAGACCGAATATATTGCTTTTTAAAGTCAGGGCCATGTATAGGCTGAGGGGAGAAATGGGAAGAATTATTAAAATTGGAAACTTGTAATTCCTAAGACAATGAATGTGTAGACAGACAATAAAAAAAGACAAGTTAGTAAGCTATTAAAACAACCTGGGGTGAGACCAGCCTGTTTTCTGTAAGGCTGGAAGGATCACTCAGACTTCCAGGCCTTGAGTAGACAGAAGAAGCGGTTTTTTCTGGGAATGTGGACAGGACATAAGACTGCATAGACAAGGCAAAGCTGACTATCCTCAACACCCCTGGCTTTTCCCTTCACATCCCTGTGCTCCTTCTTCCCGGAATAGTGTGTCCTGCTTAGGAAGTGCCTATACCTCTCAACTTCCTTTGTAGGTTTTATTGGGCTATAAAACAAGTCTTGTCTGTAAGTCATGGTCTCTGTCCATCAGGACCCTGTGGTTTAGCAGAAATGAGACATGCTCAGGAATGAACTTGGAGATTATTACACATATGAGAGGAAATAGTGCTATGGATCAATTATTAAAAACCCAGAGATTTAAAGATTTTAAATTTAAATGGGAGTATTTTGATATTTAAGTGTTGCGTGTTTGTCCATCCATCTCATTTGGAGATATGATCAATAATCTGAAAAGCCAGTCTAGAAAAGTCTGAGCTGAACAGAAGTGAATCAGGACGGGGAAGGGTGAGTGGCAGGGAGCCTGGAGGGCTGGTGCGGGAACTGCTGTGTTTGCCTGTGAGTCACAGCTGAGTCAGGCATGGGCTGGAGGAGGGAGTGTGGAAGCAGGTGGCAGGAGGTGTCCCTTGGTAGTGAATTGCTTTTCTAGGCCATGCATAGGATCATTAGGAAGCTGAGGACAATCACCACGGACCTGACAAGTGTCAGTTCTTCCACCTGAGCAGGCTGACAGAGCTGAGCATCTGCACATCTAGGGGCTCAGTTCTGCAGTTGCGGGTGTTGCTGCCCACCTTCACTAATGCAGGCAGCTCTCACAGAGGTCGCAGGGCTCTTGCTTCCCTCTCATGGCCCTCCCTCTGCAGCTGGCATGGGATAGGTACCCTAGGATGTGAAGCGCTCCCACCCAGACCCAAAGCACAAAGCCACATCTGTGTACATTTCTAATATTCTGAAAACTCCATATAAATAACTTGTTTTTTCCTTAAGCAGCCTTTGAGAGAGGCTGAAGTAACGCTGTAATTCACCCCTATGCTTTTTTAAATGGAGAAACCATCATTCCCATTAGTGAAGTCATAAACCTATTAGATCTTTAGACTCCCGTACTGTAGGTCTTACTTGCTGGATCAGTGTTTCCTCAAATCGCCTAGCCATAAGAATCATTTGACTGCTGTTGTTTAAAAGGTATTATTAATAGTTTGGGAGGCTGAAGCAGGAGGATCAAAAGTATGAGCCCAGCCTAGGCAACTTAGTGAGACTCTATCTCCAAAACACAAAAAGGGCTGGAGATGTTGCTCAGTGATAGAGCATTTGCCTAGTATGTGTGAGGCCCTACGTTCAATCCCCAGTACAGTGTCACTGAAAAAAATAGTATCATTGAGTTCCGCCTTGGGCAGGTCTGGAGTCACGATCGGTATTTTGCATCTGAGTTTTGGGAGAGTCCTGTAATCAGATGCATTTAGGAGGAGTTACACCGTGTCCCTGAGGCTTTCTTGGGCTGTGGAATCTTCAGAGGTCCTGGTGAGCCCTCTCCCACTGCCTTGAGGCTACCAACAGTGCGGTCCCCAGCAGTTTGGCTGTGACCCAGGGGATTGGCTGACCAGAGCCAGCAGAGGGAAACTGTGAAGGAGAGAGGAAGGAATGGGAAGCCCGCCACAGGAGCCTGCACTAGATATCTCCATTTCCAGAACAGTGATCTGCTATGACAATCTCAGATCAGACAACAAAAATTACAGGTAATTTTCTCATTCCCTTGATACCATTCTGAGCAAAACTTAGATCATGAATAGAAAGAAAGGAGGCCATTGGGGAAATAGCAAATGTAAATCACTTTTTAAAGCATACAAATTGTCAGCCTTGGGAGTCAACACCACTTCCACTTTAAACCCCAAAGTAGAGTGGGTATGAATAATAAAATCTATAACTCTTTCCAAGATCAGATTTAAATGCTACCAGCATCTTACAGACATTTGAGTTATAGGATGTGGGAATCCAAATTCACTACAACAGTGGCCCAGATATTTAAGGTCCTAGAAGAAAAAAGTGCCTAGATTTTTCCTGCCAAGATCCATCCTTCCTACCTCCTAGTCACCTGAGAAACTGATCGGTGAAGCTGAAAGGGGCTTTAAACATGGAGAAAGGATACTGCTGAGCTGCTGTAAGTAGCAGCCTGAGCTTTAGCACTGCCTGACAGTGATGAGATCAGTACTAATGATGTTTGTAGGATTTTTACGACATATTACTGTTTACAGACCACTTTCCCATGCATTATCTCATTGGACGCTCACTTCAAGCCCTGTGAGAGAATCCTATAGAATGTAAAACTGAGGTTGGAAAAGCTCAGTGATTTTCCTAACATCAAGGGGCTTTTAAAATTATAGAGCCAGGCCTTCTTGACTATTTAGTGTTCTTGACGATTCCTGCAGAACCAGAAGGGTGGGAGTCTGGCTCACTCTCTTACAGCGCAATGTGTGGTAAGGAGCATTGAGAATTCAGCTCTGGTTCACCCATCATCACTTGGGTAAAGCAACAAAGATGCTTACTGTAGCTGCTTTGTCCAATTAAGCATCTTTCCTCAAAGGCTGCCCTCAGAAGGAAGGGCCTCCCTTGAGGAACTTCCCTGTGCAGTAGCCATGCTTCCTGGGGCTTTGGGAAATACATGGAGTTGGAATACTTCTTGAAGAAGAATGCCTGAGAACAAACTACAGATTCCTCTGGATCCAGAATTCTGGGGTTGGGGGCAGGAGCTGCTTGGGCAGAAAATACCTGGTCATCTTCACTTTATTTCTAGGTTTGAGGTAGAACTCAGGAGGGCCAGATCTAGGGGGAGGTATGGAGGGTGTGAAAGAGAAAATTTGGAGTTTATCTAAAATTCTGATAGTTTCTTGGTGGCTGGGTGGATACAAGGTGAATGTGGTCTTCCCCATTTTTTCTGGGAAAGCTGACAAATAGCTTCTCTCTTACCCTGGCGATAAGAAAAGCCAAGGTATGCTAATAGGGCATGAGAAATTTCCTAGTGCAAATAAAGAAAAAGAGAATAGAAGAAATAATGGGACTAAGAGGGGCAGAAGTCAGCTTCATGCGCATCACCTGCCCAGTTTGTTTTGTGCCTTGTCTGTGACATCAACACTGAAATGTTTATATCACTGTTGCCCATGATTTTTTTATATGTCAGACATATGAAGTGAATTTGGTTGTGATGTTTTAAACTAAATAAAGCATTTTCATCTACCTTTATCGTCAAGTATTCGTCATTAACATAATTGTGGTTTCTCATGATCTGGCATTAAATGGCCTCAGCAAAAACAGAAGCATATAATACACACCCTCCTCAAAATGTTTTCTGTGCTGTACTAGAAGGATAAATATGGGATTGTAGGGGAAGCAGGTACTGACAAAACATAATATTATGCTTTTGCAAACTGTAACAAGCTGCAGGCTGGATGAGTCCTTGGCACACATTGCTCTGCTGTCCTGGAGGAGATGGGGTGGGAACACTGCTTGGATAATGGGATGGTACCTGGCTCATTTTCAAGATGGCAACTGCCTGATAGTAATTACTCTTGGGGAAGGAAGGAAGCTTCTCGTGGGAGGACACTTTAAGTCTTGAAGAGGTTTGAGAAATTCCACAACACCATAATTAAGAGAAAGCAATTAAAAACCTTTGTTGTCATAAGAAGTGATTGAAAAACGCAGGGAACTCTGAAGCTTGTCTTGATGGCCAAGCCTTGTCAGGGGAGTTTCAGGTTTTTGGGGCCTTGGTTAAATGGAAACTTGTTTTTGCTTAATGTGTCTGGGCTTAATTTTCTTCTTTTAGTGATTAACTTGAAAATATTAACATGTAGATTTAATTTAAAAATAGATCCCAGCTGAGCACAGTGGCCCACACCTGTCATCCCAGCACTCTGGGAGGTTAAGGCAGGAGGATGAACATCCGGGCCCAGCCGGGACAACTTAACCACATAATGCAACCCTGTCTCAAAGCAATTTTAAAAAGATTAGAGATTCAGCTCAGTGTGAAGCACTGGTTTCAATCTCCAGTACCACAAAAAAAAAAAAAACACAACACACACACACACACACACACACACACACAAAGCACTCTAAATAAAACAGTTTAACTCCAAATACCTCTTCTGAATGTTTTTACATTTTGTTTAAAATTTAATTCCATCTTGCTTTTTCTAATATATATGTATATATATATATATTTTATTTTAAACAAAAATTTTTTAATTTTGAAACAAGATAACAGGGTAACAATGATTAACACATTGCGTATTGTTACCTTTAAATTAGTTACTCAAAGTACAAGATATTGGCATTTAATTGTCCAAACAATATTAGCACAAACCTTTCTTTTCAATGAACTAAGAGAAATTAGTATAACTGTCTTAACATATATATGTATATATATATTTTTGTTGTTGTTGTTATTGTTGTTGTTATTCCCTTCCTTCTTTTCTCCATTCCCCCATCCCACTTTCTCTTTCCTTTTGAAGTTTCTTCCCATTTTTACAGTATCTATTGTACATTTTGGATCTTATTTACTTTTTCAGCTTCTCACACTAGGGAAACAATATGGTGTTTACACATGTGCATCTGCTTTAAGAAATAATATTTATAAATATATAATTTATATATAAATATCTAACATTTAGGTATATAGTTTTAATTTATTGTTTGCTTAGGATCACCTGTCTTTCCTACACATTCTTCTTTGTATGTTTTAGATCTTCCTATTGAAATATTTTCTTTTTGAAGGTAGGATACTCAGTCACTTTTTTTTTAATCTAAAACAAAGTATTCCATTCTTGTTCTTGAAAGATAATTTTACTGGTTATACAATTATAGATTGATAATTATTTCCTCTCAACACATTGAAGTGATCAGTGTTGCTTTTGAGATGTCGGTTACCCACATAACTATCCTTTCATAGGTAATCTGTCTTGTCTTTCTGGCCATTCTTAAAATATTCTTTTTATCACTAGTCTTCTTTGGTTTTTATGAACTTGTAACCAGGTGTTAATTTCTTTTATTTGTTCAATTGAGACTTACTGTGCTTCCTCAATCCGTGGATTAGTTTTCCTCAAATATGGAAAACTTTCAGCTATCAACATATCATATATTTCATCTCATCTATAAGCTCTATGTGTTAGATCTTCACATTCTATCCTCTGTATTGCTTAAACCATCTTCCATTTTCTGTCTATCTTCTGTTTTCTTCTCTGGTTAATTTCTTCAAGTTTATCTTGCAGTTCACTAATTTTCTCTTTAGCTGGTTCTAATCTTCCTTTTAACTTTAAGTAGTATACTTTTCATTTAGAAGTTCAACTTGGCTCTTTTTCATATCTACATGGTCAGTGTTGATAGTGTCATGCACCTTACTCTATGTGAAATTCTTCTTTGTATCTATTAAACACAAAAGTTTAAAATTTTATGTCCGATAATTCCAATATCTACAGCCCTTGTGGGTTTAATATTGGAATTTGTTACTTCAGCTAATTCTCATTCATAGTTTCTCATGTCCTCATAAGTTTTATATTTTTTTTATTATAAATTATATATTTGGTGGAATGCCATATTACATTGGTGTCAGTCAAGAAAGACCTTTCCTGCTTTTTTACAATATCTACCCAAATAGCTCCATATATACATAGCAACTCTGGGTGTGGGGTCCAAGAGGAATGAGTGAGTAAAGAAAGAAGCGCTAAGTAGAAAAAAATCAAGAAGGGGCCTGTATTTCTCTCTACCACAAGTTTCTAGACTTGTGGATAATGTAGGATTGTAGGAGAAGGCAGCAAGCTTTAACTTTATATATAATTCAAAATTTGATCATTATAAGAGAATGGCTACTTTAAGGGGAGGCATAAGACTATTTTAGGAGTTAAAAATAAGCAGCCCAGTAGTTATTAAGAGTGATTGAGCATTTATAGATCTAGGTTTCCTTCTAGAAGGAAAGAAAGACTACATCCATAGGATGGAATAGGATTAGGAAAAGCAAAATGATTTATTTCCCCTGCACATTGACTAATTCTAATTCAAATTTCTATGTACATTTAAGAATTGAGAAGTAGACTGATTTTAGATTCTCTGGAGAATCTTGGCAAAGACATCCTAATAATACTCATCACACCATTTAGGTGAAAGTTATATTTTCTGCTGAATTGGTTTTAAGCATCTCCTGAATGCTTATGAGGTGTCCTGAGATGACTCCCCAAATATGGTGGGCGATGGAGAGGTAGCAAATCCCTCAGAGGTGAGCGA